ATTATCATTATCATTATTATTAAATAAAATTATTATTGACATTATTTTCATTGATGGTTGTAAGATTAGTATTGGCATTATTACTTTTGTTGTTATTATTGTTACTACTGTGATAATGATTATTATTATTATTAGTAGTAGTAGTAGTAGTAGTAGTATTGTTATTGTTGTTATTGTCATTATTATTTTCATTATCATTATGATCTTTGTTATCATCATCATCGTCATCGTCTTTATCATGGTAGCTGTCATCGCCTTTGTTAATGTTATTTTGTCTGTATTTTCATTACTTTTGTTTTTTGTTTCCATCATATTTCACATTAATCATTATTGTTTACCTTAATGTTGGCCTTATTATTGTTAATGTTGTCAATTTTATTGTGTGATTTTTGTTTTTGTTATGATCACCCATTTCTATTTTTGAATCATATGCTAGTTTTATATGTTTAATTTTATATCATTCTTATTCAGAATGCAATGCCTGTCATCCAGGACTTGCAAACAAAGGGTTCCATATTTCAGTGAAAATTGGTGAAGCAAGACCCTAAAGAGAGTTTCGTAAATTTGTATGAAAATGTACAATTAAAAGATATATTGTTGTGCCCTGCTGATATATTTTCAAAAGCTAATTTCGTATTTCATGGCAAGCAGAAAGAAGAAACATTATACAGTGGATATTTTTAAAGAAAGAAAAAAACAGATTGGGTTCATAAACATTCCATTCAATGATTCCTATGAACGTTTTTTCTCTTCTATTTTCTTTTCTTCTCTTTTGTTTTCTTTTCTTTTTCTTTTTCTTTTTCTTTTCCTTTCAAGCCATTCTCAAGAAAATACTCACCAAACAGCGCGAAATAATGTAGATACTTTAGGATTGCAGACTCGCTATTAAGAGCAGTGACAACTAATTTCCAAGAAAATACGCACGAAACAGTGTAAAATACCGTAGACACTTAAGGGGTGCAGACTCCTTATCAAGAGCAGTGAAAACTAATTTTTCTGCACTGTGGTGGAAGGAGCATATATCTTCCTGGGGTCAACAAGCTGCTCGCACTTTGACGTTACGGCTCCCCACAGAGAACTCGGGCTTTTATGACCAGTGCTTCTTGTAGTATGTTCAATGTCCAGCAATTCTGACAATTTTTGCAACTTTACGTTTTCAGCAGTTTGGGACGGAAAGAATGGAAAATAATTTGGGTAGTGGATAAGTGGCTACAGACGTCGTGTTCTGTGTTACCAAGGGAAATTTTGAAATTTTTCCCATTGCTTTCGACACAAGCGACTGGAAAAATGCTTCTCATCTCTGAAACAGAATAATTTTTAAATTTTGTTGCATAATGTGTTTAATACTTTTGTTATTATTTTTATCATATTACATTATATTATATTATTGTTATTATCATTATTATTATTACTATTATTATTATTATTATATTAAACTATATATTATTATTATTATTGTTAATATCTTTATTATTATCATTAATATTGTTTTTGATATTGTTAGTATTATTATTGTTATTATTATTATTTTCTTCATTATTATTTTTTTTGTTATTAGTATTATTGCTTATTATTATTATTATTATTATTATTATTATTATTATTATTATTATTAATTTTATTATTATTATTATTATTTTCATTGTTATTATTGATATTATAATAATTATTGCCATTCCTGTTGCTATTATCATTGTTATTGTCATCATTATCATCATCATTGCCAATAGTATTATTATTATTGTTGCTGTTGTTATTGTTACCATTATTATTATTAATTTTGATAATGTTGTTATTGTTATTGTTTTATAATAATGATAATGATGGTAATAGTAGTAGTAATGATAATAATAGGTTTTGTTATTATTGTTATTGCTATTTTTGTAATCAATATTGTTATTGCTATTTTTGTAATCAATATTGTTATTGCTATTTTTGTTATCAATATTTTTATTGTCATTTTTATGATGATGATGATGATGTTTACTATTATTTTTCTTCTGAATCTTCTTGTTTTTTTTATTATTTTTATTATTATTAGACAAATGTTATTAAACTATTATCATCATCATTTTCTTTTTATTGTTGATGTAAATTTTATCACTGTTATTATCATCATCATCATCATCAGTATTGGCAATTATTATCATCACCAATAATCATCATCATCATCATCATCATCATTATCATTAATAATCATCATCAGCATCATCATCACCATTAGTAAACATCATTAATAATCAATATCATCAATCATCACCATCCTCCTCCTCCTCCTCATCATCATCATCATCAATATTGTTAATCATCATTACTGTTGCTGCTGCTATTTTTTTATATTATTATTATTAATGTTGTTTATTTAGTATTGATATTACTACTGATATATTTTATGATGATCTCAGTTTATCATCACTGTCAATCATGAGTATTATTGTTATTGTTGTTTTTGTTATTATCATCATTATTATTATTATTATTATTATTATTATTATTATTATTATCATTATCATTATCATTATCATTATTATTATTATTATTGTTATTGTTATTGTTTTTGTTATTTTCATAGTTACTACTGCTGTCACTGTTGTTTTTATTATTACTGTTATTGGTATTATTATTGTTGTTATTGTTTTTTAATATAGTAATTACCCCCTTATAGTTATTATAACTATGAAAGTATAGCCTAGCTTATACCCATGAATTAAGCATAACCTCTGTTCTTCAGATAATTCCTTCTAAAAAATTCTTAGTCATAGCTGCATAGAATGTTCAAAAGGGAAAGTTTAAAGAAAAGATTTGAGAACTAAAGCTATTTTATATGTGTTTGTAAAGGTTTTGAATGTGTGTATGTGTGTGTGTGTGTGTATTTTTGAGTGAGTGACTAGACATACAAATATAAACAAGTTCACATATTTTTGCCACATACATGTGCCATAGAACTTTAGTTTTGGTGCAGTGTGGCTCTCCATGGAGGGTAATAGAACAGAACTGCTCATGATTTTATGCAGGGCACATATCTTAGGCAAACCATAAAATGGAATATACAGAAGGTTAATTCATTGCCAACACAGGTTCCTGGCATTCACCTGTAAGGTATTATTGTAACAGGATTTCTACTGAATATGCAGGCAGAGCAATAAAGTGCGTATGTGATATTTTTGTACCTGCAGATATCTTCTTGAGGTAAATAATTAGCCTGATGTTGGCATGGCATCAGCAGACAGAGGGAGAGAGGAAGAAGGTGAGAGAGAGAGGGGAGGGGAGGAGGGAGGGGAGAAGAAGAAATAACTTAATGGGTAACTGAGAAAGAGTGAGTGAATGAAGGGGAGGGATGGGGGAAGGAGGAGGAAGAAGGAATGACTGTATGAATGATTGAGAAAGAGTGAATGTGAATGGATGCTACATTTATGGAAAATGTATATTCAGTCAGACCAGTTTCAGACCTTTAAATGTATTTTATTATTCTGATTATTATCATTTATGATATCATCACTCTCCAGTGTGGCTCTATATTTTTTGTACCATTATGAGAGTAAAGCATTGACTAGTAATGTATTTTTGTGGATAGTCAAGGGAAAAGATAGTAGACTTAGATGAGGTGGTGAATGTCATCTTGGAATTTCTGGTTTTGCTTGATACATTTTAAAAGGGACCGTTCCGAACATATTTTTTCCTCTGATTTTATCATTTATGATATCATCACTCTCCAGTGTGGCTCTATATTTTTTGTACCATTATGAGAGTAAAGCATTGACTAGTAATGTATTTTTGTGGATAGTCAAGGGAAAAGATAGTAGACTTAGATGAGGTGGTGAATGTCATCTTGGAATTTCTGGTTTTGCTGTGTTAGAGAGTTGATGTTGGGATTATTTGATCCGAGACATTTTACTGGGAGTTTTAAGGGTGACTTTATAAATTCTTACGAACTATGAAATATGAACTTGTATGTGTATACGCATGGGCGGCTCAGACAATTGGTGAATTATATGCCCACTGTCAAGAAAGCAACAAAGGGGAAAGTATGGAAGCCGTTATGGGTTTATGGCATGTTTTTTTTTTTTGTTTTTCTCTCTCTCCCTCTCTCCCTCTCTCCAGCTCTCCTCTTTCTCTTCCTCCTTCCCTCTCTCCTTTCCCTCTCTCTCTCTCCTCCTCTCCTCCCTCCCTCCCTCCCTCCCTCCCTCCCTCCCCCTCCCTTTCTCCAGCTTCTCAGCTCTCCCTCTTTCCCTTCCTCTCTCCCTCTCTCCCTTCCTCCTTCCTCCCTCCCTCCCTCCCTTCCTCCTCTCTCCCTTCCTCCCTCCCCCCCCTCTCTCTCTCCCTTCCTCCCTCTCTCCCTCCCTTCCTCCTTCCCCCTTCCCCCTTCCCCCTTCCCCTTTCCCTTCCCTTCCTCCCTCTCTCTCTCACTTCCTCCTTCCCCTTCCCCCCCCCCCCCTCTTCTCTCTCTCTCTCTCTCTCTCTCTCTCTCTCTCTCTCTCTCTCTCTCTCTCTCTCTCTCCTCTCTCTCTCTCTCTCTCTCTCTCTCTCTCTCTCTCTCTCTCTTTCTCTCTCTCTCTCTTCTCTCTCTTCTCTCTCTCTCTCTCTCTTTCTCTCTCTCTCTCTCTCTCTTTCTCTCTCTCTCTCTCTCTCTCTCTCTCTCTCTCTCTCTCTCTCTCTCTCTCTCTCTCTCTCTCTCTCTCTCTCCTCTCTCTCTCTCTCTCTCTCTCTCTCTCTCTCTCTCCCTCTCCCTCTCCCTCTCCCTCTCCCTCTCCTCTCCCCCCTCCCTTCCTTCCTCTCTCTCTCTCTTCCTCTCTCTTTCTCATTCTCTTCTCTTTCTCCCTCTATCCCTCCCTCCTCTCTCCTCCCCCCCTCTCTTCCTTATCCCCTTCTCTTCTCACCCTTTCCTTGTTCTTTCCCATCCTGTCCTCGTTTCTTTTTATTTTACTTGGCTTCAGTGGAAAAGTTCTCCATCTCTAAAGATATTCTGTGAAGACATTGTAAAAATGTTCTCTCTTTTACAGATTAAAGTATGGAGAGACCACATGGGGGCAATAGTAAAGATGACACCGTGGACATCAAGCAAGAGAAAGGGACTAGTGGAGGAGCGGTGCCCTCATGTGGCTCTTCCTCAGGTACTGTTCCGTGTTGGCCTATTAGGGTTGTGTTAGATGGTTGATGGTAATGTTTGTTTGTTTGGTACTGTGTTGATATATGCTTGTTATTATATCATATTTGTCTATTTCTCTATTTGATTTTTATTTTTATTTTTTTCGTGATTCCCTCCTGCAGGTCCCACATCCATAGCATCAACAAATCCAGGTGGTGAAGTCGAGGAAAAGATGGAGGTGGACAAGCCTCTCCTCTTACCTTCCTTGCCCTCTTTACCTTCCACCTCCTCAGTCACCATCACAAAAGCCTCCACAGCAGCTCTGCAGAAGTCATCGCAAAATCCTGTATCGTCGTCATCGTCATCATCATCATCATCTGTTTCGTCATTGTCCTCGACTACATCTTCGTCTACATCATCCTCCCTGCAGTTCTCATCATCATTATCATCTGCCGTGTCCACCCTCACCTCTGTAACATTAAGTGCCGTGTCCAGCAGCGCCCCATCTTCCACTCCAACCTCAGAGGCCGTTTCTACACTGAGTAGTAGCAAAGTGGGCCCAGACATGATGCCCACAATACCCCTGGTCCCAGTTCAGGTCCCCAATGGGCGGAGCGGTGTGGTCACCATCCCCAAGAACCGTGGCCGCTCCAAGGGCATGCCCCTTTGCCCTTCCCGGAGCGGAGGCTTTCAGAACAGGAAGGGGCTCAAGATCAAGCGCCTTGGCATGTACGTTAACAGGCTTTATATATATATATATAATATATATAATATATATATATATATATATATATATATAGAAATATGTGAAATACAAATACATTTTTTATTGAGAAAATATTTGTTCTACCATTCCATTTAAGGTTATCTTTTTATGGTATTATTTATATTAATTTGTTTTTTTCCTTTCCATTTAGTAAGTAAATATGTTTATTGATTGACATTATTTTTATAAAAGATTATCACTTCTGCCATGTGTTAACTGGAAGCTTTTTGACTTGAACCCTCCAGCAGGGGACGTGGAGGCCGACGGCTTGTTCACAGCATGTCGTTGGAAGAGAGAGGGGATGACTCTCCCTTACCGCTGGATGAGGAGGCCTATGCTCAAGATGACATGTTCATTGCTCCTTTATATCAAGATAAGTGGTATGTACATGATGCAGACAAGCAACTCTTTAATCTTATGAGTTTTTTCTTAAAGATATGTATGCAGAAGGAATGAAAGAAAATAATAATAAGCAGTCAATATGATTAAATATTTGCTCTACCATTCCAGGCCGGGACGGATGTGTGGTCTGTGTTGCCTGAGTGAGCAGAGCCAGCTGGGCCAAGGTGAGCTGATTCGCCATGACCCTACTCCGGGATATATCTTGCCGGAGAAGATTCCTTCCCCCATGGAGCCGGAGGACGACTCACCCCTGTCGAAAAAGTTCAAACCCAACATTTCGTTATTCAAGTAAGTGATGAGCCAGATAAGAGTTTAAGGATATTAGTGTTGTAGGTGTATGTCATTATAAGATATTTTTCATCTTTTTGTTTATTTATACACCATGGAATATTATGCTACTTTATTCTAGATAGGATTGTAGGTAAACAGTTTTTCTAATGATTTCCCTTCTATCTTTCTCCGTGTAGAGACAAGGGTAAATCACCAAGAAAGCAAGTCGGAGAGGCGTTACCAGAACCAGTGGATGAGATATCCTTGGTGGGTCATCAGGAACCACCAAGTATATCTGTCCTTTTTGAATCTACAGGTATGTTGCTGGGAAATTGGCCATGACATTCAAAACTATTACTAAAAGTATTTTATTTTGATTTGGAGGGCTTTTCAGTATATCTGAGCTATTATTGAAATAGGAAAAAAGAAAAAAAGAAAGGGTTTCAAAAGTATCCTATTTACTGAGATCTCTCTGTCATGTTGATATTTGTGTCTTTTTATTTTAGCCAAATGACAAATTACATTTTTTGCATTCCAGGCCATTGCTATGTTCACTACATGTGTGCGCTCTGGTCGTCTGATGTAGAGCTTGCCAGTGACGATACCATCAGCTGCATTGATAGAGCAGTTGTTACTGGAGCCAGCCAAAGATGTGTGCACTGCAAAAAATTTGGTGCAACAATACCATGCAAGGTATGGATGTGATTTAATTGTCTTTTTTTTTTTTTTTTTTTTTTTTTTTTTTTTTTTTTTTTTTTTTTTTGTGCAAAAATTTTGTAAGAAACTTGAGTTTTTTATGTTTTTATATGTCCATTTTGCCAGTTTACAGTATTCAGTGGAAGGCTGTATTATATTCCCTAGTCCTTTTCAGAGTTTAGAGCTGCTGGTCTCCCATCTCTGCAGCTTACCCGCTCCTGAATTCAATGTTCTTTATTAGATATACAAATAGTACCTTCAATATTATTTTGTATTGTCACAGGTACCTGGATGCCCCAGGTTCTACCACTTCCCATGCGCAATGAGTGCTGGTGCACCCATGGACCTCAAGAGTGTTGCAATGGTGTGTACACTGCATGCCGACAAGAGTAAAGACCTGTGTAAGTGGTTTGAGCTGACTGTAGAAATGCAGTTCTTGTAGCATTGTTTGTGCTGAGAATATGGTTATTTCTTATGTATTTTTTTATCGTGTTATGATTATAATTGTAAATATTCAAACAAGCTGTAAATGGGATATCGGAAACTAAGTTTAAATCTTTCAAACCAACACTGCATTTTAGTTATATCAGTAGCTGTATATATATATATATATATATATATATATATATATATATTATATATATATATTATATAATATATATATATATATATTATATACACACAATATATATATTTGATTATTTGTTTATATGTTTTTTTCTTCTTTTTCTATTCAATCATACATAAATTCTCTCTCCCTTTCTTAGTGGTAGACATGGCTTGTATGGTATGTGAAAGTCCTACTCCTGAGAATTCCTTGCTCTTCTGTTCATCGTGTGGCAACCACTACCATGGTACCTGCCTTAAGCCCTGCATCACCATGTCAGCCTCCGTGAGGGCTGGCTGGCAGTGTCCGGACTGCAAGATGTGTCAGGTGAGGCTTGTCCTGCTCTCGGCAAGGTTTAGCCGTTACTATATTTTCTTACTATTATTTCCTCTGTAATAATTGTTACTATTTTTTTGGTTTACTTGTCTTTATTTATTTACATATATCTATTTATTCATTCCTTATGCCCAAGGAAGTTATCAAATGGGTTGGAAGTTGCTGGGCCTTTGACCCTCCTGTGAAGAAAAGTTGCTTCCTTAGCAGGGCCTTTTGTGACACATTAGATGTCTGTTTACCTTGTGAATTTTTTAGTGGATATCATAGTTTGGGATTAGTTTTCTCTAATGTCGTAGAAAGCTTTCTGGGTTAATGTTAATGTACCCTATTTCTATGTGTCTTGCAGTGTGATGGTACCTTCCTAATTATGAACTAAGTGTTAATTTCTCTCAAGGGAGTGTTTCAGTGTTTTATTTTATTTATTTATTTTTTCTACCTTTCTCTCTTCTCTTTCTCTCTTTCTTTTTCTTCCCTTTTTTCTTTTTTGTTTCTCTTTCTCTTTCTTTCTCTTTGTCTTGTTCTTTCCCCATTTTTTCTTTCATTCTTTCTCTATTTTTTTCTTCTTGCACTTTCATCTTCTTTTTTTGTATCTTTTTTTTTCCTTTTTATTTTTTTTCTATTCATTTGTCTGCTCTTTTCCTATCCTTATTTATTTCTCTCTTTCCGTCTGTCTCTTGCTATTTCATTTTCTCTTTTCCTTTATTTCTTTGTTTTCTCTTTCATCTCTTTCAATTTCATTCATTTGTTTCTCTTTTCATTCATCTTCTTTCTTGTTCATCTCTCTCTCTCTCTCTTCTCATCTCTCTCTCTCTTCTCTCTCTCTTCTCTCTCTCTCTCTCTCCTCTCTCTCTCTCTCTCTCTCTCTCTCTCTCTCTCTCTCTCTCTCTCTCTCTCTCTCTCTCTCTCTCTCTCTCTCTCTCTCTCTCTCTCTCTCTCTCTCTCTCTCTCTCTCTCTCTCTCTCTCTCTCTCTCTCTCTCTCTCTCTCTCTCTCTCTCTCTCTCTCTCTCTCTCTCTCTCTCTCTCTCTCTCTCTCTCTCTCTCTCTCTCTCTCTCTCTCTCTCTCTCTCTCTTATCTCTCTCTCTCTCTCTATTCTCTCTATATATATATATATATATATATATATATATATATATATATATATATATATATATATATAAATATATATATATATATATATATATATATATATATATATATATATTTATATATATATATATATATATATATAATCTACTCTCACTTTCTCTTTTATCTTCTTTTTCTTTCTCATTCTTCATCTCTATTGGTTTCTCTTTTATCTTCCTTTCTCTTTCTCATTCTTCATCTCTCTTGTTTCTCTTTAATTTTCTCTCTCTCTCTCTCTCTCTCTCTCTCTCTCTCTCTCTCTCTTCCTCTCTCTCTCTCTCTCTCTCTCTCTCTCTCTCTCTCTCTCTCTCTCTCTCTCTCTCTCTCTCTTTCTCCCTCTCTCACTCTCTCTCTCTCACTCTCTCTCTCTCACTCTCTCTCTACTCTCTCTCTCTCTCTCTCTCTCTCACTCTCTCTCTCTCTCTCTCTCTCTCTCTCTCTCTCTCTCTCTCTCTCTCTCTCTCTCTCTCTCTCTCTCTCTCTCTCTCTCTCTCTCTCTCTCTCTCTCTCTCTCTTCTCTCTCACTCTCTCACTCTCTCACTCTCTTTCTCTCACTCTCACTCTCATCTCACTCACTCTCTCACTCTCTCTCTCCTCTCTCTCTCTCTCTCTCTCTCTCTCTCTCTCTCTCTCTCTCTCTCTCTCTCTCTCTCTCTCTCTCTCTCTCTCTCTCTCTCTCTCACTCTCTCTCTCTCTCTCTCTCTCTCTCTCTCTCTCTCTCTCTCTCTCTCTCTCTCTCTCTCTCTCTCTCTCTCTCTCTCTCTCTCTCTCTCTCTCTCTCTCTCTCTCTCTCTCTCTCTCTCTCTCTCTCTCTCTCTCTCTCTCTCTCTCTCTCTCTCTCTCTCTCTCTCTCTCTCTCTCTCTCTCTCTCTCTCTCTCTCTCTCTCTCTCTCTCTCTCTCTCTCTCTCTCTCTCTCTCTCTCTCTCTCACTCTCTCTCTCTCTCTCTCTCTCACTCTCTCTCTCTCTCTCTCTCTCTCTCTCTCTCTCTCTCTCTCTCTCTCTCTCTCTCTCTCTCTCTCTCTCTCTCTCTCTCTCTCACTCTCTCTCTCTCATCTTCTCTCTCCTCTCTCTCTCACTCTTCTCTCTCACTCTCTTCTTTCTCTCTCTCTCTCTCTCTCTCTCTCTCTCTCTCTCTCTCTCTCTCTCTCTCTCTCTCTCTCTCTCTCTCTCTCTCTCTCTCTCTCTCTCTCTCTCCTTCTTTCTTTTTTCTTTTTTCTTTTCTTTGTTTCTTTTTCTTTTCCCCCATATAGTTTTTTTGAAGTTTATATCAGATATACTTCACTGTAAATCATTATGAACCCCTTAGGCATGATCATTTAGAAGAGGGAAAGGATTAATGATAATAATAATGATGATAATATAAACAAAAAGGAAAAAAGGGAAAAAGTTGCCAATAACATTTTGAATTTTTAATATATTTTTTAGGATCTAATTATTCAATAGAGGAGAGTGGTTCCCTGTCAGTGCATGTTCCTTCCTTCTTTTATTTCCTGTCCCTCTTCCCTCCCCTCTCCCTCTCCCTCTCCGTTCTCCTTACTTTCTTCTCTCTTGAGTTTTATAGCCATTTTGTCTTTTTATCTTTCTTATTCTTTCACTCTGTGCTTTCTGTTGGAGACTTTGCTTTTCTTCAGTTTTCGCTTTCTCTCTCTCTCTCTTAGTTTTGTTTTTATTTAGTTTGTAACCTTCTGTCTCTTTTTAGTTGACCTTTAGGTCTTCTTTGTTTTTCTTGTTTTTGTTCTTGATTATGTTTGTCTTCTTCTTCTTCCAATTAGATATTGTTATTATTATTATTACTACTACTACTACTACTATTACTATTACTACTTTTTTGTTATTATAATTATCATCATCATTATTACTATTATTATTGTTGTTATTATAAGATTTCTTAAATCAATATTTTTTTATTATTTTTATTTTTTTCAACCTTATCTTTTTCATGTCTTTGATTTTTCCCCCTTTTTTTCCTTGGCTTCTTTACTTGTTCTATCTTATCCTGGTTCTCTTTCATTTTTTTCCATTTCCACCTCTTTCTGTGCCTATTTCTTCTCTCCTTTCTCATCCATGTTTTCTTCTCTCTTGTCCATTTGCTAATCCCATTTTTCTTCATTATCACTCTTGTCCTCCTCTTTGCCTACTTACATCCTTCTCATTTTTTTTTTCATTTTTTTTTTTCCTTGTTTCTTGTTCCTTTTCTTTTCTCCTTTTTCTTATCTTGTTCTTCCTCATTCTTCTTCTGCCTCTGTTATTTCCTAATTTCTTGCCTTGTAACATGATTTCTCTACCTTCCCTTTCTCTATTTAATCCCCCTCATCCTCCTTGTCCTCCATCCCCTTCCCCTCTCCTCCCTCTCCCTCCTCCTCCTGCTTCTCTCTCTCCTCTCTCTTTCTATCTCTCCCTTCCCTCCCTCTCCTTCTCTCCTCTTTCCCTCCTCCCTCCTCCTTTCCTCCCCCTCCTCCTCCTTTTCCTCTTTCTCCTCCTTTTCTGCTCCTCTTCCTTTTCTTACTACTATCCTTATCCTCCTCTCCTCCTCCTTTCCTCTTCCTCCTTCCTTCTCTACCTCCTCCTCCTCTTCTTCCCTACTCCTCCTCATCTTCCTTCCTACTACTACTCCTTATCCTCCTCCTCCTCCTCTCCTACTTTCTCCTCTCCTTTTCCTCCTCCCATCTTCCTTTCCTACTACTACTCCTTTCCTCCCCTCCCTCTCCTCCTACTTTCCTCCTTCTCTTCCTCCTTCTCTTCCTCCTCCTGCTCCTCCTTCTCCTGCTCCTCATCCTCCTCCCTTCTCCTGTCCTCATCTCCTCCTTGCTGCTCCTCCTCATCCTCATCCTCATTTTGTCTTCTTTCTCAGATTACGTTTCTTATTTTACATATTTTTCTTAAGCCGTTTTATAGATTCTCTTTCCTCTTTTGTACAGCTACAAAATTTCGCTCCCTTTCTGTTCATATTTTGTTAAAACTAACAAGTTCATAAGTGTTATGTTTCTGTGTCACTCTCACCAATGATAACATTTTGTCCCCTTGTCCGATGTCACTTATTTGGGTTGTCTGTCGCCTTAGCCGGGGAAGATAAGAGAAAAAAATGCCAGTATAACATGTATGAGCATCATGAGCTTAGTATATCCATGTCAGAATGATGTAGCAGCATGAATTCTCTGTTAACAGTCTTTTCATCATAAGCAGCAGAATGATCTGGCCTGTAAGTCAGAAGATTAAAAACTGATTCCTATTTAAACTGAGAAAAAAAAAAAGGAAATGGCTTTGAAGTCACATGAAGGGGTGAGATTTTGTTTTCATCATTCTCATTTTTCTTTTTTTTTTTTTTTTTTATCAAAGGTTTAAAGTAATTGTTGGATTTGTAAGCAATTTTACTGTCCCATGTTTACTTTTACAACCAAAGAATGAGTTTTCCAGATGCAAGGAGAAATGGGCAACGTGAAAATACTTTGATGAGGATGACGTTTAGTTCCTCCTTCCTCCTCTGATGATTAAATTTTGTGGGCTTTATAACTGCAGTAAGATGGTTTTGCTTACAGTTTGATTGGAACTTGCAATCTCACCCTGATTTTGATATTCTTGATGAGATAAATAGAATAAGGAGAAAGATATTCATGTCTATGCTTACACACTGATATAAAAAAAGCACTGCTGATCTATCACAATGGTGCATGCTCAGCAGTCCTTGAATGTTAGTGTTGCAGCTCTGTGACTCGTGCCTGAGGAGTACATAAAATAACCCCCCCTCCCCTCTCCTCCTTCCTCCTCCTCCTCCTCCTCCTCCTCTCCTTTCTCTTCCTTCCTCCTTCCTCCTCTCCACCTCTTCTTTACTCCTTCCACCTCTTCCTTTTACTCCTCCTCACCTCTTCCTTTACTCCCTCCTCCACTCTTCCTGTTACTCCTCTGCCTCCTCCTCTTCCTTTTCCCCCTCTCCTCCTCTCCTCTTCCCCCCTCCTTTTCCTCTTCCTTTTCCTCTTCCTCTCCTTCCTTCTCTTCCCCTCCCCTCCTCCTCTTCCTTTCCTCTTCTCTTCCTTTTGCTCCTCCTTTCCTTTGCTCCTCCTTTTCCTTTTGCTCCTCTTCCTTTTGCTCCTCCTTTTCCTCCTCTACTTCCTCCCCTCTCTTCCCTCCTCCTCCTCCTCCTTCCTCCTCCTCCTCCTTCCTCCTCTTCCTCCTCCTTCTTTCTCCTCCTCCTCCTCTGCCCCTTCCTCCTCCTCTGACCCCCCCTTCTTTCCCCTCCTCCTCCTCCTCTCCTCTCCTCTCCTCCTCCCTCCTCCTCCTCTTCTCATTCTCCTTTCTCCCATCCTCCTTATTCCCCTCCTCCTCCTCCCTCCTCCTCCGTTCCTCCTCTTCCTCCCCTTCTCTCCCCCTTCCCCTCTCCTCCGTCCCTCCATTTCCTTTCCTCCTTCCCTGTGTACTACCCTCCCTAATCTTTTATAATTTTCTTCTTTGTAAACTACTTGTCCAGCTCTTGGAACCTCCCCTTGATGTCCTCTTCCCTGCCCCCAATGGTTGTCTCCTCACCTCCTGTATATTTGTCTTATGTGTCTCCCCCATCCCCTGCCCCGATTTCCCATCCTCTCTCTCCATGACCCTCTCCCTGCTACAGTGCATGATAGTAATACCCACTGTTGTGTCCCTCCTCTGCCAACCCCCCCTGGTGTGCAGATGTGTCGGCAGCCAAGCGATGAGATCGTGTGTGGGGTGTGTGACAAGGCGTACCATGTGGTGTGTGCCCGCCCCTTTGGCCTCTCCCTCTCCAGAACTGGGTGGAAGTGCAAGGTAAAAAGATATACGCAAGAGCATGCTTTTTTATTGTTTTTTTTTTTTATTTTTATTTTTATTTTTTTTTACTCCTTCTCTCTTCCCTCTTCTCCTCCTGGCCCCCCCACCCCCCACCCATCCTCCCTTTTCTGAACCCGTTTTATTATTTTTTTCTCATAATTTTTATTTTCCGCATTGGGACCCGCCTAGCTGGCTGGCATGATCCAAAGCCTCCATTCCTCCCTCCCTCCCTCCTGCCCTCCCTGTTCCCTACCTCTGCAGTACCCAGTCCTCTGGAGATAACGTGATGATCATAAAACGTCCTGGAAGGGAAAGCATGCTAATGAGATGACTAATTATTTAATTTTGCTTTTAACTCTGTAAATATGTTGACACTTTTAAACAATGATTGTAATCTAAAACAGTTGATGACAGAGGACTGGGTTATGTAAATCCAAGTAACTTTTTTGTGTGTATATATATATATTTGTACATAAGGGATAATTATGCTGGGAAATGCAAATGCTTTGCATGTTGGCTTTTTGGTATGTTTGTATGTCTCACAAAGAATATTTCAATGCTCATTGATTTACTTACAGATGACCTTCAGCAGAATAGCTTTTAGTTTTTATTTTTTTTATTTTTTTTCACTGTATTGTATGAAGTGGTGATTTATGTATCTGCTCTTCATGATTTTTTTTTTATTTTGTTTTTGTATTTTTGACAGTTTTGCATGGGCAGATATTCTTTTTAAAAGTGATTGCTGGAACTGCACTATTCATACAACAGTTGTTATAATCTCAAGCT